GTGAGAAGAAGCAGAAAGGGTGGGTGAGTGTTGTTGTGACCTGCAGTGTGGTGAGTGGGTGTGGTGAGTGAGTGAGTGGGTGAGTGTTGTCACCTGCAGTGTGGTGAGTGGATGTGTGGTTGTAATCTGCAGGTGGTTAGTGGGTGGGCGTGTTGTTGTGACCTGTAGTGTAGTGGGTGAGTGTGTGTGTTGTGTCTGTTGTGTGTTTGTGAAGTGTGTAGTTGTGTGTGGTGCGTGTGTAGTGTGTTGCGTAGTGTGCTGTGTGTTGTGTGTGTGTGGTGCGTGTGTAGTTGTGTGTGGTGCGTGTGTCGTGTGTTGCGTAGTGTGTTGTGAGTGTGGTGCGTGTGTCGTGTGTTGCGTAGTGTGCTGTGTGTGTTGTGTATGTTGCGTCGTGTGCTGTGAGTGATGCTGGTGTTGAGTGCAGGCCACGTCTAGGCCCTGGCGCCTTCAGCCGCAAGCAATGAATTAAACAGCGGCCAGTGCATGAATGATTAAATATAGGAATCGAATGACTCAAGGAACGATACAAAGGAACGATTGCATGGCCATATGTGAATAAATGCGCAATGGGTAAGACTGCACGGTGTGAATTAATTCGTAAGATTGAATTCCAGATGGAGACAAATTAATGGACGATTGGAATTCTGTATGGCAATTAATGAATACATGATCTGATTGGGAATTCATTTATGCAAATTAATGCATGCACGATGGGAATGAACGAAAGTATGAAAATAAATCACGATGTGAATTAATAAATGCATGAGAATGAATGAGAGATGAAAATGTATGAAAGCATGAGAATTAACAAATGATACGCATTAATGGATGTTGGAAAATGAATGTGTGGACAAAAATGGAATCGGTGCAGAGATTAAAGAAAAAGTAATGAATCTACATAAATGATTGACAGATCAAATTCATGAACGAATTCATGAATATGATAAATGCACCGTTCAGGTTGTGAATGAATGACTAATTGAATGCACGAGGCAGTGAACTCACGAGGTCGAGGGTGAATGATTGCCACGGATGCTGTCGTCAGAAGTGAATGTTCATTTTCAAAGTTCATTTATTTCAAAGTTCATTTATTAGGTATAGCCCTGTGAGCCATTCGGCTCTTGAATCGGGTGCAACCGCAACAAACAAAAACATGAACAAGAAAACATCTTAAAGTGACTAAGTGCAAACAGAAAATCCAAGAAAAGACAGCAACATATTGCAGAAAAAATCACCGTACACCAACCCTGTGCAAAAATCCCAGTGGGTTGCAAGTCAAACAACAACAACCACAAGACAACTTAGATTAAGGCCATCAGTCTAACTCTGTACTACAACAAACAAACATGGCCAAACCAAAAAACTTTGAATGAATGCAAGGGACAGAGTGAAGAGTGAGACGGGGAATGCGTCAAGAGTCATGCAGTGGTCGGCTCTTCTGTGCGTGTGTGGAGGCGAGGGCTGGTGGATCACGCGGACAATCTGCGACAACTGCCAACATCTACTGGGCTACGGGGAGGCGGTACAGAAAGTTGATCCGTGAATCCATCTGTGCGGAGCTCTGAGTGTCGCCCCCTCGTGTATAGCGGTGCGGTGCTGGGTATTCTCCGCGTTGTCCGGTTCCCTCCTCCCACACGAGGCCAAGCAGCTCTCTGCTGCCAGTCGATTCGTGGCCAAGAGATCCCAGCGGTAGCAGGGCCTGCCTGTAAAACGAGTCCTGAGACTCCATGAGGCTGTCCTGCGTGTATATGGGACGCCACGGTGGTGGTGAGGTGTTAACTACCTCGCCTGGTATACAGGAGGTCGTGGGCTCGATCCCCACCGTGACCCCTGCTGTATATTTGCAGTTTGCGTGTCTCTCTCCCCGTGGTCGCGTGGATTTTTCTCCGGGTCCTCTGGTTTTTCCCTCCACATTTAGAATCAACACGCGTTCAGAGTATTTGGCTGCTGCTCTAAATGTCCACGTGATGATGACGATGACGAGCCACTTGGTTGAGCTCTCATTTGTGGGCAGGTCACTTCTGAGAAGAGCTACATAGCTCAGTGGGCCTTGCCTGGTAAACTAAAATAGTTTTAATTTATATTGGGCAACAGACTAGCGAGTGTGCCGTGTTCTCTGAGTGAGTGAGAGAGTGTGAGGGTGTGAGGAGAACACCAGGGAGGGGAGTGTGGATGATGGAGTGTGGTATGAGGAATAACACGAGTTTGTCCAACCGTGAGGGTCGGTGAGCGAGTGTGAGTGAGTACGTGAGTGAGTGAGAGTGAGTGAGTGAGCGAGTGTAATTGAGAGTACGTGAGTGAGTGAGAGTAAGTGAGTGAGCCACCATGGATGAGAGAGTGAGTGAGTGAGCCACCATGGATGAGAGAGTACGTGAGTGAGTGAGAGTGAGTGAGCCACCATGGATGAGAGAGTGAGTGAGTGAGCCACCATGGATGAGAGAATACGTGAGTGAGTGAGAGTGAGTGAGTGAGCCACCATGGATGAGAGAGTGAGTGAGTGAGCCACCATGGATGAGAGAGTACGTGAGTGAGTGAGAGTGAGTGAGCCACCATGGATGAGAGAGTACGTGAGTGAGTGAGTGTGAGTGAGTGAGCCACCATGGATGAGAGAGTGAGTGAGTGTGAGTGAGTGAGTGAGCCACCATGGATGAGAGAGTGAGTGTGAGTGAGTGAGCCACCATGGATGAGAGAGTACGTGAGTGAGTGAGTGTGAGTGAGCCACCATGGATGAGAGAATACGTGAGTGAGTGAGTGTGAGTGAGTGAGCCACCATGGATGAGAGAATACGTGAGTGAGTGTGCCACCATGGATGAGAGAGTGAGTGTGAGTGAGTGAGTGAGCCACCATGGATGAGAGAGTGAGTGAGTGAGCGTGTTACACATCATGCCCTGCTCGACGTGTCTCTGCCTTCCCGTAGCCCGAGCGTGGTTGCTAGACGACGGGCCGGTTCCCACGGCAACGCGGTGATGGCTCGGCTCGTTAGGAGCAGCACCTCGTGACTGTTCACGATGGACGCGGCGGCGACAACCAAACGCCATCGCCGCCGGTCCACTGCCTTTGAAACCAAGTCACAGCGCAAAGGTTTTCCAAGCAAAATTTGCCGTTCAAAAACCCAACGAGTTTTGTACCATCAGCTTTGAGAGTGTGTGGGTGGCGACGAGGAGGAGGAGGAGGAAGACGGAGGGTGAAACGCGGCCACGTGCCGCGGGTCTCGGCAGGGCAGCGTGGGACCCGGCGACTCCAGTTCGATTCCCGCTCACTGCCCCAACATTGGTGATGAATATCTGAATCGGTTATGGGCCTCCCCTAGGTAGACTTAGCCTTAAATGAGTACCTGGTATGGTGTGAAAAATAAAAATGAGCATTGGGGAGACAAAGGCGGCTGTGCTTGGTGCTGGCCACTCACCCCCCTCGTGTGCCGTGACCGGCATTATAGGTCTGTTTCAGGCTACACGTGAGCTGATTGTCTTCTGTGTAGTTTATTCATTGGTGTGTGTGTGCGTGTTTCTGTATGTGCGTGCAGAGTGTATTGTGAAGGAGTGATAATGGTCGGTTTGAGGCGTGTGCTTGGAGTGTCGCCACATATCGGGCGACCTCACAGTCGCTGAAAAGGCCCCAAATGACTCTCGTGTGTGGGGTGGGGGATGTCACTGGAGGCAATGGTGACCTGCAGTGGTGGACAGCATGTGGATTATTACGTGACGGACAGAGTCACCGGTTTGAAACGTGCACAAAGCTGAAATGCACCGTGACCACCATCCCCAGAGTGCGAGTCAGTATATGCTGAGTATCGTACGTCCGACACCATCATATATAACCCCAACACGTTCGTCTATAACGCTGTGTGCAGCCTTCACGGATGATATTGGTCGCGAAAGCCGACGTGTAAAACTTAAAATAAATAATTTATAATTGGTGACGTTTCAGGGCAATGGCCCTTCTGAAAGTGCTGATGGTTTGAGCCTCGTCACCAATGTCTGCTCAAACGTCTGTCTGATTCTCGCTGGGATATTGAACGAATCGTCTTGTACACGTCTCAATCATTCGTGTCAGTGGGTGTCTGCATCGGTCCTGGGCTTCCCCGAGATCGACTCGTCCATGAATTAGTTCTCGGTGCGTCGTGTTAAAACATTATCACTGGGGAGACAAAGGTGCTGCTTGCTAACAGCACTTGCCCCAACAGCCTTTCAAGGCTATATGGGGGATCTCTGTCTTTGTGGTGTGTGTGTGTGCAGGCAGCGTCTCTTTCGAGGGAAGAAGATTTTACAGGACCATGACATCGTGGTGGAACAGGTGGGAGCTGGGGGGGGGCTAAGTGTGGGGGGTGCGCTGATGATGGTAATGGTGGTTCTATTGCTGCTGATGATGATTCTGATGTTGATTGCATTGGTTTTGCCGACACCTATGATCAAATCAGCCCAGAATGCGCCCCAGTCCCGGCAGGTCTCAGAAGCTAAGCAGGCTTGAGCCTGGTTAGCCCCTGGATGGGCGACCGCCACCTTGACAGGCCGGTGCGGGAGGCAGCTGCCCAGCGACATTGACAGCAGCAACATCCATTGCGTTGTACTGTACTTCTCTGCTCCGACATCAATGCTCCCCGCCTTCACCAACCCGCACTATAACTCCTACAACCCGTGCGGCGTGGGCAGGCCCTCATCCAGCAGTGGATAAGCAAATGGGGCCCTACACGTGCGTGGCAATGCCGCTGATCTGAACCCACAGCCCGACCAATCGCCACCCCTGGCCCCTACCCAACCGCAGCTCGAACCATTGCCAGGCTGTGCTCTGACGAAGCCGCGACGGTGACACTGCCGTGATGGTGCCGTGATGCTGCCGTGATGGTGCCGTGACGCTGTCTGCTGTGATGGTGCCGTGATGCTGCCGTGATGGTGCCGTGACGCTGTCTGCTGTGATGGTGCTGTGACGCTGCCGTGATGGTGCCGTGACGCTGTCTGCTGTGATGGTGCCGTGATGCTGCCGTGATGGTGCCGTGACGCTGTCTGCTGTGATGGTGCCGTGACGCTGCCGTGATGGTGCCGTGACGCTGTCTGCTGTGATGGTGCCGTGACGCTGCCGTGATGGTGCCGTGACGCTGTCTGCTGTGATGGTGCCGTGACGCTGCCGTGATGGTGCCGTGACGCTGTCTGCTGTGATGGTGCCGTGACGCTGCCGTGATGGTGCCGTGACGCTGTCTGCTGTGATGGTGCCGTGACGCTGCCGTGATGGTGCCGTGACGCTGTCTGCTGTGATGGTGCCGTGACGCTGCCGTGATGGTGCCGTGACGCTGTCTGCTGTGATGGTACCGTGACACTGCCGTGATGGTGCCGTGACGCTGCTGTGATGGTGCCGTGACGCTGTCTGCTGTGATGGTGCCGTGACGCTGTCTGCGATGGTGTCGCGATGTCCCCGACTCCCCTAGGCCGAGTTTGGAGACATCGGGTTGGTGGCGCAGTCCGGGGAGCCGTGCGTCGTCACCGTGAGACAAAGCCACAACCTCCGGCAGCCGAGCAGGTGAGGAGCTCGCTCCACCCTGGGGCTGCCTCCACCCTGGGGCTGCCTCCACCCCAGGTTGCCTCCACCCCAGGTTGCCTCCACCCTGGGGTTGCCTCCACCCCAGGTTGCCTCCACCCCAGGTTGCCTCCACCCTGGGGCTGCCTCCACCCTGGGGCTGCCTCCACCCTGGGGCTGCCTCCACCCCAGGTTGCCTCCACCCCAGGTTGCCTCCACCCTGGGGCTGCCTCCACCCCAGATTGCCTCCACCCTGGGGCTGCCTCCACCCCAGGTTGCCTCCACCCCAGGTTGCCTCCACCTTGGGGCTGCCTCCACCCCAGGTTGCCACCACCCTGGGGCTGCCTCCACCCTGGGGCTGCCTCCACCCAAGGTTGCCTCTACCCCAGGTTGCCTCCACCCTGGGGCTGCCTCCACCCCAGCTTGCCTCCACCCTGGGGCTGCCTCCACCCCAGGTTGCCTCCACCCCAGGTTGCCTCCACCCTGGGGCTGCCTCCACCCTGGGGCTGCCTCCACCCCAGATTGCCTCCACCCTGGGGCTGCCTCCACCCCAGGTTGTCTCCACCCCAGGTTGCCTCCACCCCTGGTTGCCTCCACCCTGGGGCTGCCTCCACCCTGGGGCTGCCTCCACCCTGGGGCTGCCTCCACCCCAGATTGCCTCCACCCTGGGGCTGCCTCCACCCCAGGTTGTCTCCACCCCAGGTTACCTCCACCCCAGGTTGCCTCCACCCTGGGGCTGCCTCCACCCTGGGGCTGCCTCCACCCCAGATTGCCTCCACCCTGGGGCTGCCTCCACCCCAGGTTGTCTCCACCCCAGGTTGTCTCCACCCCAGGTTGCCTCCACCCCAGGTTGCCTCCACCCTGGGGCTGCCTCCACCCTGGGGCTGCCTCCACCCCAGATTGCCTCCACCCTGGGGCTGCCTCCACCCCAGGTTGTCTCCACCCCAGGTTGTCTCCACCCCAGGTTGCCTCCACCCCAGGTTGCCTCCACCCTGGGGCTGCCTCCACCCTGGGGCTGCCTCCACCCCAGATTGCCTCCACCCTGGGGCTGCCTCCACCCCAGGTTGTCTCCACCCCAGGTTGCCTCCACCCCAGGTTGCCTCCTCTCTGGGGCTAACGCCACCTTGGTACGACCTCCTCACCAGAGCTAAATCCACCCTGGGGCTTCCTCCTTCTCGGGGCTGCCTCCTCTCTGAGTCTAACTCCACATAGGCACGACCTCCTCCGTGGGGGCGACCTCGAACTTGGGGCTACATCCTGCCCAGGACTACCTTCATCACAGGGTTACTTCCAACTTGGTATGACCTGGGACTACATCCTGGAGCTGGCCACACCACCCCCTCGTGTGCCGTGCCGTCTCTGTAAAGGCTGTACGGGGGGACTTTGTCTCTGTGTGCGTTGTCCGCAGGTCGTTTGTGCCGGATTTTGTCCTCATTCGGCAGCACGTGTGCGACGGTGGGCGGGGCCAGGATTTCCGTTCGCTGCTGATTGGCCTGCAGTTTGGGGGTGTGGCCTCGCTCAACTCCCTCTCGTCCATCTACCACTTCTGTGACCGGCCCTGGGTGGTGAGTCTCCACGCCGCGTCATCATTAGCAGCAGCACCAACATCACCATCAGCGTCACTCAAAATCTGCTTCAGACACTAAGGTCTCGAACTGTTACACAGCCTCACGTCGGTTCTCTACTGTTGCCCTTTCGGTGTTGAACTCTTTATCTCTTTGCACGTCCGCAACATCAAATGTACTCCGACTTTCAAGAAACATCCAAAGGCCTTTATCTGCCTGGGTCAGGCTTTCGAGCAGCCCTGAGCTTGGCTCTGCGCCTCTGAGTTGTTGACTTGTCTGCAAAATCTGGGACGTTATGATTTCATTATTATTATCATCATCAGCAGCAGCAACGGCCACATCAGCAGCGACACCAGCAACAACTCGAGCATATGAGCAAAAACATCAGCAGCATCAACATCGGCAATGTCATGTTTTGAAACGTAAACATCAACTTTAGCATAATCAGCAATATCATCATCAGCAACATTAACAACATCAGAAACATCATCATCAGCAACATTAACAACATCAGAAACATCATCATCAGTCACAGTGATATTTGAACCAGTTCTGGTCCTTCGCCAAGTCGACTCGGCCTTAAATGAGCACGTACATCGTGCGGCGGTGTAGATGGAAAGTCATCGTCACTGGGGAGACAAAGGTGGCCGGGTGCAGTGCTGGTATACGTCAGCCCCATGTGTGGCCGTGCAGGTGTTGTTCACAGCTGCTTGCCTAACAGCATTTGCTCCTACGTCCTGTGTGCCTACACGGGGGATCTTTGCCTCTATCTTTGTGGTTGTCGGTGACAGTTTGCTCAGCTGATCGGGGTGAGGAGAAAGTTGGGGGGAGAAGCGTTTCCTCTCATCACCCAGGCCTTCTACCCGGACCACAGGGCCATGGTAACTCGCCAACCCACAGAGCCACACACACTCTAGTATAGGCACAGAACCGGACACACAGCCACACAGAAAGCATGGAGACGTACGCATACATAAACACGTGTACGCACACTTATGTAGTGGGTTCTACGGAGGCGCACACTTGAACTTGGAGGCAACGCGTTTATTACACGACCCCAACAGGGTAACTACATGAACGTGCACTGGTTAACTAGACCACAACAGGGTAACTACATAACCGGGTCAGTCGGCTAACACCCACGATGCCGAGCGTGAAGACGGAGGACCGAAGAGACGTAGCGCCGATGGGTTCCATTCCCGCAGACAGCCGCCATCGCTCTCGAGACCTCCCTTTCACGCTCCTGAGAGGCGTGGCCTCGCCCTCTTCCACGCCCCCTTCTGGATCTCACCAGAAGGTTCTCGACCGAGCACCACGTGTCCCTCGAGCCACCCTTTGGGCCCCCTCGCTACCCTGTCCACGTCACGTGCCCTCTCGTGTTCTCCCAGACTGCCACGTCCCGACTTGCCCTCTCTCTGACCGTCACCAGAACCGTGCCCCCTGGGGCAGCTTCCACGCCATCCCCACTCAGGTGCCAGGGAGAGACTCAAGACGCACACTTACAGCAGCTGGCGCTCAGCGCCCTCGTGACTCCATGTACGTCACTACACTTAGACACGCGTAGCGACTGACATACACACCCACAGTTATGTACTCGCACACGCACAGACATACAAAGAAAACAACAACTGCCTTTCACCACTAATTGGCGGTGACGTCACCACGGCGCTTGTGCCATGCTAGGTGCACTTTGAGGCCGTGTGAAGGTGTGCGTGCGAGTATACAGTGTGGCCTATGCATCCCAGGTGAGCACTCAGGAGCTACCGGCGGTGGTGAAGATGGGACACACACACGGCGGCCTCGGCAAGGTGAGCACCTCACCACACTCTCACCACACTCGCCACACTCTCAACACTCTCACCACACTCACCACTCTCACCACACTCACCACACTCTCACCACACTCTCACAACACTCTCACCACACTCACCACACTCTCACCACACACTCACCACACTCTCACCACACTCTCACCACACTCACCACTCTCACCACACTCACCACTCTCACCACACTCACCACACACTCACCTCACTCTCATCACACTCTCACCACACTCATCACTCTCACCACACTCACCACTCTTACCACACTCACCACACTCACCACTCCATCTCACCACACTCACCACTCTCACCACACTCTCACCAGACTCTCACCACACTCACCACACTCTCACCACACTCTCACCACTCTCTCACCACACTCTCACCACACTCTCACCACTCTCTCACCACACTCTCACCACACTCACGACGCCCCGTGCAATGGTCCCATCGTCTCGTTTTCCCCCAAGCTCTCTCACAATAGCCTCGTTCAGTGCAAGAAACCTGCGCACACTATATACCCACACTCACCACACTCACCACACTCACCACACTCACCACTCTCACCACACTCACCACACTCACCACACTGTCACCACACTCACCACTCTCACCACACTCACCACACTCACCACACTCACCACTCTCACCACACTCACCACACTCACCACACTCGATACCCACACTCACCACACTCACCACACTCACCACACTCACCACACTCGATACCCACACTCACCACACTCACCACACTCACCACACTCACCACTCTCACCACACTCGATACCCACACTCAACACTCTCACCACACTCACCACTCTCACCACTGTCACCACACTCACCACTCTCACCACACTCACCACACTCACCACTCTCACCACACTCACCACACTCACCACTCTCACCACACTCGATACCCACACTCAACACTCTCACCACACTCACCACACTCGATACCCATCACCACTTTGATGGTGCTGTCTGTTACTGGCTGCTTGCCGTTGTCATTGGTGATGGAATTTCTAGCTGCTGCGCTAGTCTGGTCGATAGGTGAGGGCGGAGAGCCACAGCTGATGACAATGATGATGTTGGTCGGCAGGTGAGAGCTATGGTTTATGATGATATTGGTTGACAGATGAGAGCTATTGCTGACTGACGACGATGATGTCGATGACGATGATGATGTTGGTCGGCAGGTGAGAGCGGAGAGCCACGGGGGGTTACAGGAGCTGCCGGGGCTGCTGTCGCTGGTGCGTGCGTACGCCACCACCGAACCGTACCTGGAGGCCAAGTACGACGTGCTGGTCTACAAGATCGGGGCGGCCTACCGTGCGTTCATGTGAGCGTTACCCCTAACACTAACATTACCGTGCGTTCATGTGAGCGCTAACCCTAACACTAACACTAACCCTACCGTGCGTTCATGTGAGCGCTAACCCTACCCCTAACACTAACCCTACCGTGCGTTCATGTGAGCGCTAACCCTACCCCTAACACTAACCCTACCGTGCGTTCATGTGAGCGCTAACCCTACCCCTAACACTAACATTACTGTGCGTTCATGTGAGCGCTAACCCTACCCCTAACATTAACATTACTGTGCGTTCATGTGAGCACTAACCCTACGCCTAACACTAACATTACCGTGCGTTCATGTGAGCGCTAACCCTACCCCTAACACTAACATTACTGTGCGTTCATGTGAGCACTAACCCTACCCCTAACACTAACATTACCATGCGTTCATGTGAGCACTAACCCTACCCCTAACACTAACATTACCGTGCGTTCATGTGAGCACTAACCCTACCCCTAACACTAACATTACCGTGCGTTCATGCGAGCACTAACCCTACCCCTAACACTAACATTACCGTGCGTTCATGTGAGCACTAACCCTACCCCTAACACTAACATTACCGTGCGTTCATGTGAGCACTAACCCTACCCCTAACACTAACATTACTGTGCGTTCATGTGAGCGCTAACCCTACCCCTAACACTAACATTACTGTGCGTTCATGTGAGCACTAACCCTACCCCTAACACTAACATTATCGTGCGTTCATGTGAGCACTAACCCTACCCCTAACACTAACATTACCGTGCGTTCATGTGAGCACTAACCCTACCCCTAACACTAACATTACTGTGCGTTCATGTGAGCACTAACCCTACCCCTAACACTACCCCTACCGCATTTTCCCGTGAGTGCTACCCTAACAACACGAGGAGTTTTTGTGGTTGTGCTGTGGTTGTGCCATGTTATGATGCAGTGTTGTGCTGTGTTGCGCTGTACCGTTGTTGTTTTGCGCTGTGGTTGTGTTGCGCTGTGGTTGTGTTGCGCTGTGCTGTGTTGTGCTGTACCGTTGCTGTGTTGTGCTGTGCTGTGTTGCGCTGCGGTTGTGTTGCTCCTTGCTGATGGGGCGCACGTCCCTGCGTGACGCCTGCAGGAGGACATCCATGTCTGGCAGCTGGAAATCCAACACGGGCTCCGCCATGGTCCAGCAGATCGCGATGACGGACAGGTGTGATGCAGAGACACACGGAGACACGCACAGGGACGCACGGACACAAAGACAAAGAGGGACACGCAAAGCGACACACACAGCGACACACACAGAGATATACACACAGCGACACACAGAGATATATACACAGCGACACACAGCGGCATACACACATCGACACACAGAGATATACACACAGCGACACACACAGCGACACACAGAGATATACACACATCGACACACAGAGAGATACACACAGCGACACACACCGCGACACACACATCGACACACAGAGACATACACACATCGACACACAGAGATATACACACAGCGACACACACCGCGACACACACAGCGACACACAGAGATATACACACAGAGATATACACACAGCGACACACACCGCGACACACACAGCGACACACAGAGATATACACACAGCGACACACACCGCGACACACACAGCGACACACAGAGATATACACACAGAGATATACACACAGCGACACACACCGCGACACACACAGCGACACACAGAGATATACACACATCGACACACAGAGATATACACACAGCGACACACACCGCGACACACACATCGACACACAGAGACATACACACATCGACACACAGAGATATACACACAGCGACACACACCGCGACACACACAGCGACACACAGAGATATACACACAGAGATATACACACAGCGACACACACCGCGACACACACAGCGACACACAGAGATATACACACAGCGACACAGAGATATACACACAGGATTCCCACTCGCAGCCAACATGAGGGAATTATATCCCAAAATTTCATGGGCCCCTCCCCTAGGTCAACTCGGCCTTAAACGAGTACCTGCTGCGGCGTGTACAACACATCATCGTTGGCGGGCATGGCGCTGGCCACGTCATCCCTTCCCCGTGCACCGTGCCCGCCTTCATAGGTGCCGCTCACTTTCAGAGCACTTGCCCCAACAGCCTGCGTGGGCTACACAGGGGACCTTTGTCTGTGTGGTGGCGCAGGTACCGCGTGTGGGTGGACGCGTGCGCCCAGCTGTTTGGCGGGCTGCACGTGTGCGCCGTCAAGGCGGTGCACGCCAAGGACGGCCGCGACTACATCATCGACGTGAGCGCTGCTGCTGCCGCCATCACCACTGTACCATCATCACATCATAGCCTTCACCACACCAACACCATCACCACTATACCACCACCACCACATCATCGCCTTCACCACTACATCACCGACACCACTATACCATCACCACCACCACCACATCATCGCCTTGACCACACCAACACCATCACCACTGTATCATCACCACCACCACCACCACATCGCCTTCACCACACCAACACCATCACCAATATACCATCACTGTCGGTACCAACATCATCGCCATCACCACTACATGGAAAGGACGCTATATAATTCCGAAATAGAATAGAAGCACACCATTGGCTCCACCACCGCCATACCACCGCCATACCACCACTATCACTGCTATCACTACTATGTCACGATATCGTCATTGTCATCACGACTACATCACCACTATATCATCACCATCACCACGACATGACGGCCATCATCACCACTACATCACAATCGGCTCTACGTCAACACTACATCACCGCATCAAAAGCACAACATAACCACCATCATAATCATCACCACCATCACCAGCATCACGACAGTTACCATGAATACCACCATTATCATCATCGTCACAACCACCATTACCATCGATCATAACCACCATTACCATCATCACAACTATACTACCACCACCAGCATCATGCTACTAGGATCACCACTACCCTCATCATCACCATCACCATTCCTTCCCGAGTCCCTCACCCCTCGCTCACTCGACCCCTGACTGCTGGGTCCGTGACCCCTGACCCCGCTGGGCAGGTGATGGACGGCTCGGTGCCGCTGGTCGGGGAGACGCGGGAAGAGGACGAGCGACTCATCGCGCAGCTCGTCACCTCCTCCTGGGAGGCCCTGCTAACCCACCAGCGCGCGCACGCACAGGTGAGGGTGACACCTCCATCGCCACCACCACCATCATCTTATTGTCGTCACCACCTACATCATCATCGCCACCCTCATTATCACCACTTTCCCCACTTTCATCATCATCATCATCATCACCATCATCATCACAATCATCACCACAATCATCATCATCATCACCACAATCATCATCATCATGTCGTGCACCTCTCTTTGGCCTTCGTGCCGCCAACCCCCCCGCGTGGCAGAACAGAAGAGCAGCCGCCCGTGCCCAAAGCCGGACTCCCATCATCATCGCGAGCGCTGCGAGCGCTGCGAGCATTCACCCGCGTCCAATCCCACCGCCCCTCGCACCGCGCTCGTGACTTGGTTCAGAGCGCTCGGGTTGGGGTTGAACGGGCAATGGAGTTGGTCTCCACGAGTCTGGCGACCAGGGCGCAGGGTGGTAGCGCAGTGGCAATGCTCGTGTCGCGGCGAAAAGGGCCTGGATTCAAATCCCAATTCGGGTGCCTTCCTGTGTGGAGTTTGTGTGTTCTGCCCCTGTTCTAGACAGTGTGTGAGTGAGTGAGTTTGTGTGTGAGTGAGTGTGTGAGTGAGTTTGTGAGTGAGTGGAGTTGGTGTGTTCTGCCCCTGTTCTAGAGAGTATGTGAGTGAGTGAGTTTGTGAGTCAGTGGAGTTTGTATGGACTCTCTCTGTCTGCTCTGCGGTTTCCTCCCATAGCAAAATAACATAAAAACATAATGTCATTGATATTGGCCAAACATCCCAATTTAGCAGCACCCTCCAGAAAACAAGTCTTCAGACTCAGAGTGCCTTTCCTGGGTAATTAATTATTACACTTATTATAATTATTATCCTAACGATGAGTCATGTGACACGGCTGATCCCGTTCCAGGGCAGCACCACAGACGGCCCGGACAACCCCAAGCCTCCGGCCCAGGGCTGCCTGCAGTACATCCTGGACTGTAACGGTGAGAGCCTTGCAGCCGCCCTACTGCTCGGGACCTATCCTCGCTTCTCCTCCCTGCCCTGCCCCTGCCCTGCCCTGCCCCTGCCCTGCCCCTGCCCTGCCCCTGCCCTGCCCTTCTGACGAGGTGCCCCGCCCCCCTTGTGCCCTCAGGATCACAGGGCACGACTGAGACTGACAAGGCCGGGCAGCAGCAGCAGCAGCAGCGAGTACAGGCAGCCCAGCCACAACCCTCGGGCCAGACGCCACCAAAACCACAGCCACAGCCTGTTCTGCCACAACAGAAGCAACAGTATCAGGTGGGTCAGCCACAACCCAAGCCACAACAACAACCGGGGCAGCCACAACCCAAGCCACAACAACAGCCGGGGCAGCCACAACCGAAGCCACAGCCTGGGCAGCCACAACCTAAACAACAACAGCTTGGGCAACCGCAACTCAAGCCACAACAACAGCCAGGCCAGCCACAACAGAAACCACAAACACAACTGGGGCAGCCACAACAACAACCTGGGCAACCACAACTCAAACTACAACAACCTGGGCAGCCACAACCGAAAGCACAACCGCAACCTGTCCAGCCACAACCAAAGCCACAGTCATCACCCCCTGCACAACCACAGCCACAGGCACAAGCTCCACCGCAGCAACAACCTGGGCCGCCACAACCGAAACCACAACCCGCTCAGGCACAGCCTAAACTACAGCCCGTGGGTCACTCTGCACAGCCGCTAGCCAGGTGAGGCTGTGTGTGGTGTGGCACTCTGTGTGTGTGTGTGTTGCCGTTGTAGTGTTGTGTTATGTGTTCACACACCTGTCAACCCATTACCAGTGCCCTACCTTATTACAGACCAATTCAGACCTTATTGGTCACCCCGTGCCCTTATAAATCTCAACGCTCATCCTACAAAGTCCCATCACAAGGGAGAAACACAAAAAAATAGACACAAACATTGTTGCTCGTATTGAAGCGGCTGTACGTCGTATGGACCTGAACTCAATTTCCCTGTACAATAATAAACCGTGTGGGTTGACAGGTTTGCGTTCATCAGGTTTGCGTAGAGTGTTCGTGAACAGCACTTGCCCTAACAGTCTGTTGAGGCTATTATGGGGGATCTTTGTCTTTGCTATTGAGCAATATCTCAACCAGTTCTCGGTATCCCCTGGGTCAGTGACTCGGCTTTACACATGAGCATGGGGTCCAAGTACAAAGAATGCTCGTAAAATGCAGCAGGCTGCGTTTGTACCGGGCTCCCTAAATGCCACCGCGTGAAACATGATTTTTATCTGTAGGATCGTAAATCTAGGGGCGGGGCGGCGGGGATTACAAAATCACTGCCACTGTTCTAGCCAATGAGCTGCTGGGAAGATGACCCCCAAGCAGACATGGCCGCCGTAACATCACCCACGCGGCCGTGGGAATCCACTCGGCGCTGTCCAGGGGGACCGTGTCGAGTTTCACGCGGAGTGACGATCCGCGAGTGTCCACGTGTTTGGCCTATACGGCTACAGCGCCATCCACTTTTAGCGCTCGTCAACCGAGGCTCCGACCTCGGTGTACGAGCGCTACAATAGCTCCCTGCGTCTGCCTGCGACAACGCTCGTTAACGATGGCCCAATGTCACAACTTTACTTATGATCCAACCGAGTTTAATTGGTAAATATTGCTTGATTGCTGAATAGTTTGTCTGTTGTTACTCAGTGGCTAATATTAGTTTCACTCTTCATTTTCCTATTTAAAAACTCGGTCATCAGAAAACTATGCAGTCCCCAACTTTTATTCTTTGCGCTGTCTCTCTCCTGGCCTCTATTCACGTGCCGTGAAGAAGGGCCATTGCCCGAAACGTCACTTGTCATATTAACATTTGTATATATCAAGGTCGCACCATAAGCGCACAGTGCAGTTGACGAACATATCGAGTTTTGTTGTTTTATTGTGAAGTTGTTTAGTGTGAAGTCGCAATGCCCCGAGGAGAAATCTGCGTGAATCGGATTCGTCTTGACCGTCTCGGTGAGGACGTCATGACACGTGGTCTAGGTGATGACGTCACGACACGTGGTCGAGGTGGTGACGTCATGACACGTGGTCTAGGTGGTGACGTCTCGACACGTGGTCTAGGTGGTGACGTCATGACACGCGCAACATCGCGAGGCACCGGGCGACGTCGCGTCGGAACGTCGCCGGTCGGAGGGCAACGCGCGCTGGGGAAAGCGTCGTGGAGAATCTGTGCGTACGCCCGATTCTCTTCTTCCTCGCAGACCGGTGGTCGTACAGCAGCAGAGGCCGCAAGACGGGGCCCGCCCCGAGCCCCCCCAGGCCCGGGCCCCGGGACAGGCGGCCCAGAAGTGGAAGGCGGTGGGGGGCGCGGGAGCCGCGGGGGGGCCGCCCGCGACGGCGGCGGCGTCCTCCGGTGGGGGCCGGGCCCCCCATCCTAGGACCCAGGGGGAGGGGTCGAGCCCCCCGCCCCAAGCCGCGCAATCGAGCGGCGCTCCCCCGCCATCCGGGGCGGCACAGGCCCCCCACGGGCCGCAGGGCGAAGGGGGGCCGGCGGCTCGACGGGCGGCCGGCGGAGGGCAACGCCAGACGGCGCCGCCGCAGCCGACGGGGGGGACGCCGCAGCAGCGGCAGCAGCAGCAGCAGGCGCAAGCCACCGGGTCCACCTCCGGTGAGGAGGCGAGCGACCCCAACGTGAGCCAGCGCTTCGTGGGCGATGGCGCTCCATCCGAGAAGCAGATGGCGCTGCACCAACAGCCGCCGCAGCCGCAGCAACAGCAGCAGCAGCAGCAACAGCAACAGCAGCAGCAGCAGCAACAGCAGCAGCAGCAGCAACAGCAACAGCAGCAGCAGCCATATCAGAAGCAGCAGCAGCAGGTGGTAGGGTTGGCTGGAGGGCAGCAGGGCAGCCGTACAGCACCAGCCGTGGGTCAGAGGTCACGCACGCAGTCCCACTCGGAGCAGGCAGGGTCACCCGTTCCGCAGTGGAGTGGGGTGAGACAAGGGTCGGCGCCCAGGCCAGTGCCGGGGTCGGCACCCGAATCAGCGCCGGGATCGGCGCCGGGATCGGCGCCGGGATCGGCGCCGGGGTCAGGCCCGGGGTCGCCCCAGCACCAGAGGTCGGCGGCTGGACCCGGCTCGCCACAGCAGGGGAAAGCTCGCAGCCGGTCAGTGCAGGGTGCGGCGCAGGCGGACGTGGCCGCGCCGGCACCACCATCGCCACAGAAGCAGCGAGTGGAGAGCACGGGCTCGGACAGACGCGGCGATCTCATCAGGGCACCCTCCCCACAGCAGCAGCAGCCACCGGTCCCACAAGCAAAACTACAGCAGCAGCAGCAGCAGCCTCAGGCACAGGCACAGGGGCGGCCGACCTGGGTGTCACAGGAATCGGGGAGCCGCGGCGGTGTGATTGGGGAGCAGCGCGCAGTCGCCCCGTCGGACTACCAGCCGCAGCAGCCGCAGCAGCAGCCGCAGCAGCAGCCGCAGCAGCCGCAACAGCCACAGCAGCAGCAGCAGCACGGCCAGCCATCACTCTACCAACATGACAGTCAGCAGCCGTTTAACGAGCTGGACATTCACCATCATCATCAGCAGCAGCCACAGCAGCAGCAGCCATCTGTGAGCGAGCATCAGGCCACCCAGAGCCAGAGCCGGTCCAAGGGCCCGTCCCCCCAGGCGTCCCCGCCACCCCACCAGCCACGGGAGAGGCCCCAGCCCGGAGTGCTCGCCCAGCGGAGGTGGCCCCCCGAGCAGGCGCCAGGCATGGGGCCTGTCCTGCAGCAGCAGCCGCAGCAGCAGCAGCCGCAGCAGCAGCAGCAGCCGCAGCAACAGCAGCAGCAGCAGCCGCAGCCATCGGGGCCCGTGGCGAGCCAGAGAGGCCCCACCGCTGAGCCCCTGCCGAGCCCCCAGGCCCGGCGGCACGGTCCCTCCGTGCAGCCGTCTCCTCCCCCACAGCAGAGGGCCCCCGGGGAGCGGTCCCGCGGACCCCCTCCACCGCTCCAGCCCAAGCCGGCCGAGCTGGCCGCGAGGCCCGACCGGGGCCCGCCCGCTGCGGGAACGCCGGAGAGGATCCCGCCCAGAGGCCCGCCGGGCCAGCCCCGCCCCGCGGACGGCGGCGGGGAGGCCCAGGGTAGGCCGCGTCTGCCTCCGAAGCCCAGCGAGCTGGCCGCTCAGCCACCGTCGCCTCGGCCGCAGCAGAAGGCCGGCGGCTACGCAGTGCCGCAGCAGCAGCAGCAGCAGCAGCAGCAGCAGCAGGGGTCTCCACAGCTGCAGCAGAGGCCGGTGTCGACCCAACAGCCGCAAGGACCCTCCTCCTCCCCAGTGCCCGCACAGCGGCCACGCAACCCGTCGGTGTCTCCCGACCACCAGAGGGGCCCCGCTGGGAGAGCCCCGGCTGCGGCACAGAGGGCCGCTTCCGTGGCCCAGGCGCCCGCACCGTCGGCACCCACGCAGCAGCAGCCGCAGCAGCAGCAGCAACAGCAGCTGCAGCAGCCGCAGCCGCAGCAGCAGCAGCAGCAACAGCAGCCGCAGCAGCTGCAGCAGCCGCAGCAGCCGCAGCAGCCGCAGCAGCAGCCGCAAGAATCGGCGCCCCAACCGCTCGGGTGAGTGGGCAGTGGGGTTGGCGCAGGTGAGATGTTGCTGCTGTTGTAACTGTGCTCGTGTGTTTGTGCATGCATGCGTATGAATGTGTGGATGTATGCGTGCTTGTGTATCTCTACATGCGGGTGTATATACACGTGTGCACATGTGTGTGCGCAGGGAGCGGTAGTGTAGCGGTTAGCATACCACGCTTCTAATCCAGCGACCTGAGTTCGATTCCCGCTCCCATAACAGCGACGCATATTTGAACTGGTCCTGGGCCTTCCCTGGGTGTGGTGGGTAAACATCAGCACTGGGGAGATAAACGCGGTTGGGCGTGGTGCTGGCCACCTACCGCCTCGCGTGCCGTGCCGGCCTTCGTAGGTGCTCGCTTACGGCACTTGCTCCGATAGTCCGTTAAAGACTACACGGGGGATCTTTGTCTTTGTGTGTGCAGCTCATCTGGCGACCCCCAGCCGGGCCAGGAGCAGACCGAGAACTGGCCTCCCATTCGCAACATCCGCAAGTCCTTCGCTTCCTTCTTCCTCGACTGAAGCATGCGACCGCACGACACGGCCACACTACCGCACGCACGCACCGCACGCACCGACACAGCCACGCACGCCGCGCCACACGTGTCTAAACCCCCATTGCACCGGCCCCACCCAGGTTCCGTCTCACCACCTCGGTCACCCTGCCTCATATCCACGACCTGATCTCAGCACCCGGCACACACGTCCAGTATACATTTCACTTTGGCTGTGGCTACTTGGTCACGTGCTAACTATTCCAGTCTACCAACGACCCATAACATATTTCTGCACACCAGTACACCGCATCCAGTACACCGCATCCAGTACACCTATCGCTATGGCTGTGGCTACTACTAGTCACGTGCTACCTACTCCAGTCTACCGGTAACCCAGAAAATATTTAGTTTGAGATGCATTCCTGCTCACCTCCCTCCACGACGACCCAAGCCACCTCCCTCTCAAGGGAGAATGTTGGTGGCGTTGTCTTGCGCGTGGGAGGGAGGTGTGGACCGGTGGTGGTCACTTGAAGGGATCTCAGAGATAACTCTGTGATATCTGCTTCCGGGGGCCCGTCGTCCAAGACGAAGGCTTGTTGCCGCTCTGCGAGAGAGTCCCGAACGGATTCGTCATTTCCAGGATTTCTGACCGCGAGCATTTGCAGCGAGCAATGACGAGCACAAGCACCCCGGGCGCGCGTCGCCGCCGACCGGCGACCGCGACCTCCCGTGACCCCACGGATCACCCGGCCGTGACCCTACGGGTCACCCGGCCGTGACCCCACGGGACACCCGGCCGTGACCCCACGGGTCACCCGGCCGTGACCCCACGGGTCACCCGGCCGTGATCCCACGGGTCACCCGGCCGTGACCCCACGGGACACGTGGCCGTGGCCACGAGTGAGCGCCCGCCCGTTTGCGCCCGTGGGGCTGGGCGGGCGACCCACGCTTATCTGTTCTTTAGCCGTGCCGTGATCCCGTCAAGTGCCGTGACCCCGTGTCGCCGTTACTCCTGCGCCGTGGGCGCGCACGCGCCTGTACGTGTGTAGATGTGTGTGTACGTGTGTAGGTGTGTAGGTGTGTGTGTACGTGTGCATGCGTGTTCTCCCGTGTGGGCAGTGCTGCAGGTTGGGGCGACGTCGTGGTCCAATTTGAAAACATATAAAATGGCTGCCACAACAATGGGGTGCTTCTGCTGCCGCGGTGTGGGGCGGACAACACACCGGACCTGCAATCCAGAGGTCACCGGTTCAGCTTGATTTGACCTCCCGGTGCGGCGGTTGAAGCAACGGAGCAAGTTTCTTAATTCCGCTCGCCTCTGTTCATGCATGCGCATCCATGGCAGCACCACAGTCGCCTTGCACCACGGCGCGGGTGAAAGTGTCCTTCCCGAGTATGTCCAACGCCCTGCGGTAGTTTGAGCACTTTTCCCTTGTCACGAGGTGGGGCGGGTTTGGTGGCGGTGGCAGCACACCCACGATGAACATCGATGGTGAAAGCCGGAGGGAAAGTGCTCAACCCCCCCTTCCCACCCCTAATGTCACTTGAAGAGATCTTGGAAGTAGCTCTGTCGTGTCCGCTTCTGCGGTACCGTGATACACCGAGGGCCGCGCTGTTTTGCGAAAGATCGGAACGGATTCTTCATCTCGTGACGACACAACGCCGGTAGCAGTGATCGGGATCACATTTGGGGGGGGGGGGGAATGCAAATGTGGAGGGACATCTGTGGAAAAAGTGCCGCTTAGCTCATCGGATTCCTCCAGGATAAAGATCGCGACTCTGAATGGTGTAGGCGCCGCTATGCTCCAGGGAAAATCCGCTCGATGACGCCTCCAATCGTTGCCCACGTCTCAGAGTTTGTGGGCAGAGCCCGGCCTCGTGCCGCCGTCACGCGCAGCTCGTCCGCCGCCTGAGACGACGCCGGCCCGAGCCAGTGCAGCGCTGCCCCGCGTGTCGCGTGTCTGGACTGGCGTGTGGCGGCTCCCCCTTTGGGTTCCCCAGCGTCGGCCGGGCGGCCGAGCACAGGTGCTTGGCCAGGTGAGGTCGACTGAGTCGTGGGCCACGTGTTCACTGGCGGGCTGCAGGCTCCGTGGTGGTGGAGTTGGGGGCGTCATGTCAAGCTGATGGGATACGTGGTTGAGCTCGGGGACCGCGTGCAGCTGGGAGAGGGTTTCATGGTTGAGTTGGGAGTTCCTTTAGTGGAGCTCGCGATCCATGGGGGACTTAAATATTACGGGGGGGTGAGTGGTGGACTTAGGGGGTGAGTGGTGGACTTAGGGGTGAGTGGTGGAGTTAGGGGTGAGTGGTGGAGTTAGGGGTGAGTGGTGGAGTTAGGGGTTAGTGGTGGAATTAGGGGTGAGTGGTGTCAAGGGGGTGAGAGGGTGCATGGTGGTGTCAAGGGGGTGGGGGGGTATGGTGGTGTTCAGGGGGTGGGGGGTGGGTACGTGTTGGTGGTGGTGATGTCAGTGTCCGGAGATTCGAGTCCGCGAACGTTGGGACCGCAGAAGGAATGGAACCTCCTCCTCCTCCTCCGCACTGGCGCGTTGCCTGCGTGTCGATCACCCCGGCGAGTGCGCATGCGTCAACGTATTGGCTTCTTGTTATTGCCGTGTGCGTAAGTTTCCTCGTGCCTGTGAATGTAATTAATCGGCGTGAGTGTAACTTATTGATCACTGTGAGTGTAACTTATTGATTGGTGTGAGCGTAAACGTATCGATGATCAGCGCGCGATCACTGTTATCGACGATGGTGGTGGGCACGAGTCCACGTGTTTTCGATGGATGCGTCTCGGTGTGTTGGTGGATAATGCGGCGGCTCGCGCGCTGCGCTACGGACCTGGCGACCCGAGTTCAATTCCCACGAACAACCACCAGTGACGATTGTCTGAACCGGTCCCTAGGACCTCCCCAAGGTCGACTCAGCCTCGGATGAGTGCATCGTGCGATGTGTAAAAACATCGGCACTGGGAAGACAAAGGCGGTCTGGCATGGGGTTGGCTACCCACTTCCTCGTGTGCCGTGCCGGCCTTCATAGGTGCTCGCTAACAGCACTTGCCCCTACAGTCTGTGAAGGCTACACGGGGGATCTTTATCACGCGTCACTCCGAGCCTGTTGCCGTGTGTGGGTTGACCTGGCGCCTCTGTCCTTTATTGAGTTGTCATTGACTGAGGAACGCCGGCTCCGTTTCGACTCCAGGATCCTGGGCCTCTTCATTTGGCACTTGAGTGGATGATGGTGATGATGATGCTGTGGCCTGGGTTATGATGATGATGATTCACCAGTTGTTATGGTAATGATGGCGAAGTTGGTGATACGAGCCGCGTTGTGATGGCCCTGATGATGGGGCTGGGGCTTATAACGGTATTGACGGGGCCCTGCTTGTGATGGTAATGAATGAGGGTCACGTTGAGATGTGACTGGAGGGATTCAGGTTCCGGTGGTGTTGATGGCTTTGGCCATGGTGATCAGGCTGCATTGTGACGATGGTGATGGCGCTTGTGATGTTTATGAAGATGGGACCCGGGTCAATCTTGGTGCCCGGGTGTTGATGGTGGTGATGGGACATGGATTACGGTATTGATGATGATAGTGGTTTATAGACATCATACGGCCCATGTAATGATGATGATGGATAATTTGAGTTGACGATAGTTCAGTTGTGATTGTGATGATGGAAACCGGGTTACTATGATAATTGATAGAGATGATGAGACCCCTCTAATGATTCATGATAACGAGCATGGTTCCGTTGTCATGATGATTACATGATTCAGTTGTCGTGATAATGTTGCCTGGATTACGATAATGATGGGACCCGGGTTACCATTATGACTGATATAAGTGATGATGATGGTTCAAATGATGATGGTTCAGTTGTGGTAGTAATGATGATAATGGTTCAGTGGTGGTGATGATGGTGCTGATTACGATGGTTGAGTGGTGGTGGTGATGGTGTTGATTATGATGGTTGAGTGGTGGTGGTGATGGTGTTGATGATAATGATTGTTCACTGGTGGTGGTGATGGTGTTGATTACGATGGTTCACTGGTGGTGGTGATGGTGTTGATTATGATGGTTGAGTGGTGGTGGTGATGGTGTTGATTATGATGGTTGAGTGGTGGTGTTGATGGTGTTGATTATGATGGTTCACTGGTGGTGGTGTTGATGGTGTTGATTATGATGGTTGAGTGGTGGTGTTGATGGTGTTAATTATGATGGTTCACTGGTGGTGGTGATGGTGTTGATTACGATGGTTCACTGGTGGTGGTGATGGTGTTGATTATGATGGTTGAGTGGTGGTGGTGATGGTGTTGATTATGATGGTTGAGTGGTGGTGTTGATGGTGTTGATTATGATGGTTCACTGGTGGTGGTGTTGATGGTGTTGATTATGATGGTTGAGTGGTGGTGTTGATGGTGTTAATTATGATGGTTCACTGGTGGTGGTGATGGTGTTGATTATGATGGTTGAGTGGTGGTGGTGATGGTGTTGATTATGATGGTTGAGTGGTGGTGGTGATGGTGTTGATTATGATGGTTGAGTGGTGGTGGTGATGGTGTTGATTGTGTTGATTATGATGGTTCACTGGTGGTGGTGATGGTGTTGATTATGATGGTTGAGTGGTGGTGGTGATGGTGTTGATTATGATGGTTGAGTGGTGATGGTGATGGTGTTGATTATGATGGTTGAGTGGTGGTGTTGATGGTGTTGATTATGATGGTTCACTGGTGGTGGTGATGGTGTTGATTATGATGGTTGAGTGGTGGTGGTGATGGTGTTGATTATGATGGTTGAGTGGTGGTGTTGATGGTGTTGATTATGATGGTTCACTGGTGGTGGTGATGGTGTTGATTATGATGGTTGAGTGGTGGTGGTGATGGTGTTGATTGTGATGGTTCAGTGGTGATGGTGTTGATGATAATGGTTCAGTTGTGGTGGTGATGACGATGTTGAAGCCACGGGCCCTGCTGTCCGAATCGTTGTGCCCGAGTCGATGCCGCCACGTGCTCACACGCGGCTCATTGTGATTGGTGAATGATTATAAGTAGCGCGATTTAGAAGTAGTTCATTAGTCGTTAGCTGTTGGTTAATTGCTCGTTCGCTGTGGGTTAGTCATTACCTGTGCGTGTTGGTTGCTCAGTCGCTGTGGGTCACGTGATTGTTCATTACTGGCGGCTCATTGCACAGTGAATGTGGGTTGGTGATTGCACAGTCGCCGTGTTGGTTCTAGATTAGCTGCGCCTTGTTGTTAACTGCTCATTAGCTATGGGGCAATTGGCCCTGGGTGAATTGCTCATTAGCTGTGGGTTAATTCTTCATTAGCTGCGAGTTCATTGCTCATGATCTATGGGTTGTCAATGGCTCAACAGATCTGGGTTAATTGCTCATTAGCTGTTGAACAATTCCTCATCTGTGGGTTAATTGCTCATTGGCGGTGGGTTGCTGTGATTTGACTGTGAAAAATAAAACTGCGAGAGACACCTGATGACTATTTGTTTGGGAGCAAGAGAGAACCCCACCATCATCACAACCCTCATCATCACAATCACCAACACACCCCCCACCCGGACCACCCCCCCCCAATCACCTGTACCCTGCCCCCCCGATCACCTGTACCCCGCCCCCCCAATCACCCGTACCCCGCCCCCCCAATCACCCGTACCCCGCCCCCCAATCACCTGTACCCCGCCCCCCAATCACCTGTACCCCGCCCCCCCAATCACCCGTACCCCGCCCCCCTATCACCCGTACCCCGCCCCCCAATCACCTGTACCCTTCCCCCCAATCACCCGTACCCCGCCCCCCAATCACCTGTACCCTTCCCCCCAATCACCTGTACCCCGCCCCCCTATCACCCGTACCCCGCCCCCCAATCACCCGTACCCCGCCCCCCTATCACCCGTACCCCGCCCCCCAATCACCTGTACCCTTCCCCCCAATCACCCGTACCCCGCCCCCCAATCACCTGTACCCTTCCCCCCAATCACCCGTACCCCGCCCCCCAATCACCTGTACCCTTCCCCCCAATCACCCGTACCCCGCCCCCCAATCACCCGTACCCCGCCCCCCTGACCACCTGTACCCCTCCCCTAGCCGGTACACCTGAAGGCGGAAGCCCCGTCTCGAGTCAAGGACGACTGGAGCAGCGGCTGCCAGGTGAGTGTGTCAGGTGTGTGTGTGTCAGGTGTGTGTGTGTCAGCTGTGTGTGTCAGCTGTGTGTGTCAGTGTGTGTGATGGTGTGTGATAATGTGATGGTGTGTGTGTGTGATGTTGTGTGATAATGTGATGGAGTGTGTCATGGTGTGTGTGTGTGATGGTGTGTGATAATGTGATGGTGTGTGATAATGTGATGGTGTGTGATAATGTGATGGAGTGTGTCATGGTGTGTGTGTGTGATGGTGTGTGATAATGTGATGGTGTGTGATAATGTGATGGTGTGTGATAATGTGTGATAATGTGATGGTGTTGGTGTGTGTGTGATGGTGTGTGATAATGTGATGGTGTGTGTGATGGTGTGTGTGATGGTGTGTGATAATGTGTGATAATGTGATGGTGTTGGTGTGTGTGTGATGGTGTGTGATAATGTGATGGTGTGTGATGGTGTTGGTGTGATGGTGTTGGTTGAGGCAGTCGCCCTCCAGCAACAACGGAGGGCGGATGAGCGACGCTCACAACAACTAGCCGAGCGCCGGGTGGCTAAAGCACAGTAAGTTGGTACAGTAGGGGGCACAGGTGGTGCATCAGCCACTCATCTCGGCCATCTCAGTCGACCCGTGGCACCTGAGTCTGCCCCGTGACCTCCTGCCAGCGGGCGTTCGACACTTCACGTGGCCTCAAGGTGCACATGGCCTGGCACAAGCGTCGTGGTGACGTCACCGCCACTTAGTGGCGAATGGCGGTTGTTGTTGTGTGTTGGTGTGTGATAATTTGATGGTATGTGATGGTGTTGGGGCATCTTCCAGACCGATTCAGCCTCAATAGAGTGCCTGGTGCCTTGCGTAAAAACATCGCCACTGGGGAGACACAGGCGGCCAGGCGTGGTGCAGTCCACCAACCCCCTCGTGTGCCGTGCCGGCCTTCAAAGGTCTTTTTTAAAAGCACTTGCTCCAACAGTCTGTTAAGGCTACACGGGGGATCTTTATCTTTTGTGATGGTGTGATTGTGTGATGGTGTGATGGTGAGATAATGGTGATGGTGTGTGTGATGGTGATGGTGTGATGGTGATGGTGTGTGTGA